TCCCCAAATAAATGCATCTTCAAGCGGATCAGGTAGACAAATTCAAACTCAACTTAATTTTAATCCACAATCCTCAACTCTCTCAACATGGCAATACAATACACATGTTGCACGAGAGGAAATAGCAAGATATATAGTTGCTACAGACTCTCCCATTTGTTTATCTGAAAATCCTTTTTTTGTTAATATGGTTAAAACTGCATTTTGTCCAGCATATACCCCTGTTAGTAGAACTACAAGTAGAAGAGATATACTAAAACTTTATAACAAAATAAATAATAAACTTAAAAACGAATTTCAAAATTTTAGGAATATATCTATTGCACTTACATCAGACATATGGGCTTGTAGATCAAAAACCGATTTTTTAACTGTTACAGTACATTTCTTAGATCATAATTGGGGTTTACAACAAAAATTGATAGGTTTTAAACCATTATATGAAAAACATAGTGCTGAAACTATTTATTTTACAATTCTTGAAGTTTTGCAAGAATATTTATTAACTGATAGAGTTGTAGCGCTAACGCTTGATAATGCAGCTGCTAACACCGCGACAATATCTTTATTTGAAAAGAAATTGGATCCGCTTGGTGAAGGCAAATTTTATCACCAGAGATGTGCTTGTCACATCATCAATTTGATAGTTAAAGCAGGTTTAGATGCTATACATTCAAAGATTGAGAGGGTGCGTAGAGCTATCGGATTTATCATCGGCGGTAGCAATAAAAGATGGCAGGAGTACGTCAAATATTGTAAGCAAGAGGACCCACCGGTTCGACCTTTGAAGTTATGTACAGACATGCCTATCCGTTGGAACTCTACCTACTTGATGTTGGAAAAAGCTTTGCCAACCGCGAAACAAATTACAGATTTCGTCAACCGGAAGAACTATCCAGAGGAAGTTGTCAACTATGATGATTGGGCGGTTTGTGAACTTTTTTATTCATTTCTTAAAATTTTTTATGATGCTACTAATACATTAAGTGGTATTTATTATCCAACTACTAATTTAGTGTTAGATATTTTAGTTCAAATTGCTAAAACTTTTGATCAATATAGATATGATAACATTTTTAGTGAAATTGTTTCAAGTATGGAAGAAAAATATAAGAGATATTGGTTAGATATTCCATTCTTATATGGATTAGGCCTTTTTCTAGATCCTAGGTTTAAATTATCCGTAGTTAACGGTGTAATTACTGAGTTAGGCCATTATTTAGGACATGATTATACGTCTTATTTGACTGACTTTAAACACAAATTGGATAGGCTTTTTTCTTTATATGAGAACAGATACAATGGAAGTAGAAGTGGAAGTGGAAGTGGAACGTCTAGGAGAGGCGATCAGGACCTTGATGTAGCCCCCCCTCAAGGATCGAGCAAGTGGGCGTATGTGGGACGTGGCGGAAGCTCCAGCTCTAGCTCCAGCTCATACATACATAGACCAAATGAGATGACTCGCTACCTACAGGTGGACTTGACCTTTATGACGATGAAGGAGCAACTTGACATGGATATTCTTCAATGGTGGAACCAACAAGAAAGTCAATTCCCCATTATATCCCAAATGGCACGTGACATTTTATCTGTGCCGGTTTCTACAATTGCATCCGAGTCAACATTTTCAACGAGTGGTCGGATTGTTGAAGACAGAAGATGTTCTTTAACCGATGAGATGATTGAAGTGATAACGTGTTTACGGGATTGGACTCATGGAGAAAGAAGACTACAACAGCACCCTGAAGATCCCGAACTACTCGAACTCTTTAGGAATACAGATTTGAATAATGTAACTAGTGTTGACGATGAAATTGAAGATGAATAATTTAATAAAAAAATTATTTAATTGTTTATTTGTGAAGCGTGAATGTGTGAAATGTGAATATTATATTTATGTTAAAAATTAAAATTAACTATTAATTTATTATTTTTTAAAATTAATTAAATTTTTAGAAACTTACTAATCAACCCCTAAAAAATACTAAAAACCCCCTATAAAATTTCATTTTGCCCCCAAAATATAAAAAAAAATTAAGGGAGAAAAATAAAATTTTCCAAACCCCATGGGATCGGTCCTAGGACCGGTTCTGGGCCTATGGGACCAGTCTCGACCAGGCCTAAGGCCTGGTCCGGGTCCTGGTTTTTCTCATGGGCCGGGGACAGGTCCTAGGCCCATGAGAGACTGGTCCCATTTGGGACCAGTCCCAAGGGACCGGTCCCTTGCCCAGCTCTAGTATCATCTACATTATAAAATTGAAATTATTCTATTAAAGTATCGTCGACAACATCGTATTGATCTCGACGACGCGACCGTTCCCAATCTCGAAGACTTGTGAGGACTTCAATCCTTTTTTAAGAAAGTTTAGTCCTCCTTTCATTTAAAATTCTTCCACTTGCACTAAATGTTTGTTCGGATGAGACGGTTGAGACAGGAACAACAAAAACATCCATGGCAAGTCTTGATAATACCGGAAAAATACATTTTCTAGCATTCCAATATTCTAAGACATCAAAGTTGGCTCTCTGTTGTGGATCTGCTAGTAACATTTCGGAGGTTACCAAATATTGTTGAAGTTCATTACTCTGTGCCTGCATGGAGGACAGTATATTAGTTGTTGTTATTGATGGTGGTGCTTTTGAAGAGGAGGCTATGCTTCGGATTCGGGTCCTCTTCGGCCTATTCAGTGTACTGCAAGAGTAGAAGTCTTCATTTGTTTCTTTTGATGCAACTTCCCTGGACATTTCGCCTTTTTACGGATTCTCATACCTGTTTTCATACTGGAAATATACTTCTGCAAGACATTTTTTTACCTCTCCTATTTGATTGACATATGCTTCGGTTTGTAAATTTTCACTTAAATTGACAAAACTATTTTCTAAACTTACTAATTTAATTCTAAGATCAAATATAACACCTAAACAATAAAGAAAATGAATGTGTTCCCAATATATATTTTTTTTTTAAATTCTATTACCTTTATTAGTTCCTTTAAAATTTTCATTGTTTTTGTTTTTTGTAAATAATTCTAAAATTTTTATAATTGTATGTATTACCAATAGACTAGTAGGATAATACATACTAGAAAGTTGTAAAGTGGATTAGAAAAAAATTTTAAGAAAAGAATGAAATATTTTAACTATATGCTAATCATTTTCTACCAAATAATTATTTGCTACAAAATAACTAATTAAATTTGCATAAAGTAAACATGAATCAAGCATTAAATAAGTACTATTACATCTAACAGGCATGTGTAATGCGAAAGTTCTAGGAGACATATTTGATTTTATACAAATATCTTGAAATTCAGCATTTCTTTTATTACTACTAGTAATCCAAGCTAAACAATCCCTAATTCTATCAATATTTTCTTTAATTGTTTTCATACCACTTTTCACAATTAAATTAATAATGTGATATGCACAACGTTAGTGAAAAAACTTCAAATTGTTATAAAAAGGATAATTAGTTTGAAAAAAATCTATAGCTATAGTATTAGCACTTGCATTATCTAAAATTAAACTTATCACTTTATTAACAATATCATAATCTTCTAAAACTTCAACAATTTTATTATAAATTTGTTGACTACTATGATCCACATCCATTAATCTAAATCTTAATAAATATTTATTTAATTTACATTGGTTATCAAAATAATGACTAATCACACAAATATAATCTTGTTTAATTCTACAACTCCAAATATCGGCAGTTAGAGCCACATTAACATAACAACTATGTATTTTATTTTTTAATTCTAATTTTATTTTCCTAAACAATTTTATTAAATCATTTCTAGTTGCAGTTTTAGAATAACTTTTAAATCTTGGAAAAAATGGATTTTTAATAAATCTTTCAAAATATTTAACTTCAGTCATATTAATAGATTGATCAATTGCAGCAATTTATAAAGCTAATTGTTCCATATATACATCAGAATTATAACGCCAAGTAGTACCCATATTAGTTATTTGAGTTTCATTGGTTTCTCTATTTCTATGTTAAGCAATATATTTATTAGCATGCCTTTTTAAAGTACTAGTATCATTACCTGAATCAGCTTTATAAACATTTCCACAATACTGCATCTTACTTTCTTCACTTGAACTCCATTTTCTGCCTCATAAAACTTATCGAAATGCGTTCAAACGTCTGATATGTTCTGTCGTAGCTTTCGACAACAGTTGATGAACCCGCTTCAGCTTGAGATAAAGTTAGACGAGGACGACTTCTAAAACCACCGGGAGTTGTAGGTGTAGCAGTGTGGGGAAGGATCGGGGGCATATTTTGAGGTGTATCGGATTTCGAGACTGGGAAAGCGGAACTATTTGAATCTTCTCCCGTATTTATGTTAGTAAATTCAGCGGGACTAAGACTAGGATAGTAGTTTCCTTCATCATTGAAATTGATGGGAGAGAAATATCTATCCATTTTAGTTGAAAAAAAAAATTGATGTAGAAGAAATAAAAAATTAAAGAAGGAAAATTGGAATATGGAAAATTAGAAATATGAATTGAAAATTGTAAAAACTAATAAAAATTAAAATAAGAGCAAATTAATAACAAAGAGATTAAGAGAATAATTGAGAGATTTCAATAGAGATTAGAGAAAATGAGAGAATGAGAGAATTTGAGTTGTGAGAAAGTATGAGAGTTTAAGGTCAATTTATAAAAAAAAATGACGAAAAAGACCCTTCCAACTGCTATAAAGGGACTATATTTCAAAGATAAAAAGGGAATTTGGGGCCAACCGACCGAGTTAGCGGTCCTTTCTCTAGAAAGGACAAAATAGCAACCCACGGATCGTCAGGTTGCCATATATCAACCTGGCTCACCCAAGGGTTGCATGCAGGGTGGGTTCAACCCGGCCTGCCTTATTTGCGGTCCGAGTTTAACCCTCTTTAATGAGGGCCAGGTTAGGGTTAACCCGCCTAACCCGGCCCATTTGTTCCACCTCTATCCTGGACTGATTGTATTTGTATCAGAAAAGTTTGACCAAGGTAGCTCCCCTACAATTTTCTAAATTAAGATTAATACGAATTATAAGAAATTACAAACAGTGCTATATCTGTAACTAATGGACCCTCAATTTCTCTACTTTACATTGATTACTTGAACATTAATCCCCGTGAAGAAAGAAACTTTGAGAGATTGAGATTCACATAAACTATGGAGAAACATACTAAGTATAAATTTGTTGAAAAAGAAGGGATAAAGAAATAGAATTGAAATCCAAAGTAACACAATCCTGTTCCAGAAACTAATAAACTATGGAGAAACATACTAAGTATGACTAAATGGACGGCATTATTTTAGGAGAGGTTGGGGTGAGGGAAGAATCTAAGAGATTTAAGGATTAATAGCTTTCGGGTTATGGTAGGATTCATGTGGCTACTGGCGACTCTTGGCTTTGATTCAGGAAGCTCCAGTTCTTCAACAAAACAGCTATCATCTTCACAAAATCTTCCATGTGTACTCGTCGCCATTATATCATCACATATCTTTACATGTCTAGAAATCCACATTAGATTAGAGCCTGTATTTCACGGAATTGCAAACAAACGGATCCTATGCAACTACAATCTAAACCAATGACATGTTAGCAAATATAAACAACCAAACTTTACCTTACTAAAAACTAAAATCACCAATCAAATCGAATTATCATCAAACCAATCCAGAAACCAATTATATGGGAATAAAATAACAATAAGTGATGTTTTACCTGTCGAGACAGCAGAATCGAAGACTCAATCAAGATTGGTTGTTCTGATTCTAGACTCTAATAGAGATTTGCTTGTAATGTTCCTCTTCTTCACTTTAACAGATAATGAAACCTAAATTAGAGAGCCAAAAACTCAATGAAAACATGGTGAGATGAGATGAGGTGAAGGTGAAATGAGATGGGTACCTTGTCGAACGGCGACTGCAAAGCTCCCGGCAGCGGTGGTCGATCAACAAGGCAACACTAGATGACAGGGGTTAGATCGTTGATTGAAAATGGTAAAGGGATTTACAAAATTATAATTTAGAAATGGGGAAGGGGCATAAGAGTTCACCCGCTTTTGGGTTAAAGCCGGTTGGACTGATGGTTCGCTACAGTAACCCGGTCCAACCGTGGGACAAACTGTGTGAACTCTTACCCCCACTTTTTTACTCTAACCGGCCCGGCTCAGTGACCGGTTTCCAGTCCAACCAATTAAACCTGCCAGACCTGGCCGGGTTTTAAAACAGTGCAAATAATACTACCCATACAAAGAGTTTATGTTATAACATAGATATATGATTATTGTAAATTTTAGCATGCCATATTTATCTTTAGCCATTCATCGTGTATTATTTTAATGGTGCAGAAGTTGAAAAATATTTTTTAGAAAATAGCATGGATATATGGTTATTTTCTATTGCAAGGCAATTGGCCATTCTAGCTCCATGTTTGGACGCTGTACAAAATCATCATCAAATAGTCACTACATATTGTGTAGACCATGCTGCATACTTTGTTTCGAAATAAACACTTCATGCAACCCACTGAAAAATGCACAACAAACAAGGATATGAGTTACCACATCTTAAAGTAAAATCGAACACAATATCAAATTCACAGGTTTCTGAGAAGTACATGCCAGAAACTTGAAAAATATTCCAAGCTCAACAGAATATGATAAAATGATGGTAACATGAACCACATCCACATACAGAAATGAAATTTTTATTTTTTTAACTAAACAAAGAGCCATTAGCAAGGAGAAATATCAAATACCTCTACTTTGGATGATATATAGGACCGATCCAGATTTTCAAGGCATTCAAGGGAGCCTACTTCATCTGCCCTTTGTACACTTTTCTCCCAAGGCTGATAAAAAGGGATGATAATGAGTGACATGAGATAATAATTAAAAAAATAACAACATAGATTCAGTGAATTTTGAGTTTAACAATTTTTTTGAGATTAAAGAGGTGTTAAGCTGTTAGATTCTAAATCATCATCAAAAGAAAACCAAGGTGAACACTGTGAGTAAATTTAGAAATTCCAGCAACAAGGAAAAATTGTTGTAATAGTCAATTTAAGGTTCACAATGGATTAAGGTTGAAAACACAAAATGTATGCCTCTCTTTGTCATTGAAATGTTTTTGTTCACATCAGATAATAGACCAAGTTGTAATAGGTTTCATGCATGATCAACCATCTGTTTAATATCATTCTCAAAGTGTGTTTATTGAATTCTGGTTTTATCCTGTTCTTTCAGTTCATCAAATTTTAATTATGTTTATAAGCATTTGGTACTTTCTGCAACAAAAGAGAGGCTTCTAGGAGGAGGAAAACCCGTTTTAGATGTGCGAGAACAATCAAACATAAAACTATTAGTTCATGGTACTGTGTAGAGGAAAGACAACTCACTAGTTCCTTGAACCAACTTCTTCTGTACTGCAAAAAATAAAAATAGAATATATTAGAACATTCAAAGTCACAAAAGAAACTTGGAAATAAAATTTTATATTTTTAATGCATGAATGCTTAGAAACAAGTCTCTTAAAGTACTGTTTCATTTCTGACAACTCATGACTAGAAAAATGATCACTAACAAACAAAATATTTATTTATTTTAATGCACTTTATGTACAAAAAGACAAAAAAATAAATACAACTTTTAATGCATTGATATGCTAAATATTCTATCCGTAAGTGATATTAAAGTGTGCCCAACTTCATAAAAATAAGAGAGAGTGATTCATCAACTGTATAAAATAGCAGTCAAATTGTGTCAGGACTGAACTGATCACAGTGAACACATAGACATACTTGAAACCTTATTAGTGGATGTAAATACAAAAGTTCACATTAAAGATGATCATTCCCATCCATCACAGAGTAACTGAAAGGTTTCAATTGACATACAAAACTTTAGCAAGATAAAAGAAGTATCAATTTATTGTCCCTTACATAAATGTGCATCAGTTGCCACTGTTAGGTTATCTGAATCATTTTAGAAAGAAAGAAAAAAAAGATTGCGGGAAAAGAAAGTAAATCCAAGTTGCAAAATCTTACAGAATCTGGTCTTCTTGTAACCTCCACGTTTAGGCTCTCAGTTTTGGCTCCCCTGGTCTGGACATGTTGGGCAGTTGGTGCATCCAAATATTTGCTTTCCTTATACTGCAGAAGCCTCCTCTTTTTCAAAGGGATATCAGATGCACTTCGTTGTATAATATCCTCGGAACGTCTCATTTTAGCCTCATTTTCAAGTTGGAGCAGCAATTTGACGCACAGTACCATCATTGTCAGATGTTTGAGGCCTCAAGGATGTATTATAACTCGAAAAACGCCTTTGTTATCGACATTTGGTGCAGCTTTTTGTGATAATGAACATGTAAGAAACAAAAACTAATTCAGATAATCGGTTATATTAAGAATTATAGACGTAAAGAAAAGATTCTTAGAAACTACCTTTCACCACTGAGCTCACTCTGATACAGAACTGGAAAATTTAACAACACGCCCAACTACTTTATCCAATTCAACTGGGACACAAAATTGATTCCCACTCCACTCTCTCACTCTTGCTTTAGGCTTAAGAGGCCTAATGAGGCTTCATTCTTTTTCCTTTATCACTTGGAAAATGCTCTTCGGTCCACTGGAACTGCAGCTTTTTTGATTCTGAAGTGATGGAAACAAGTTAACTTTATCCAGTCAGTTAAATTTACAAGGAAGACATATGAAAGACATTCCAAAAATCACCTTTCACCACAGGGTTTATTCTATTGCCACAATTGTCATCCTTAACTGCATTGTGGACTGCTTTCTCCAATCTTAACCTGGAAGATGAGCTGATTCTCCAGTCATCTGTAATGTCTGTTTTAAATAAGAGGCAGAACCCGTGCTGACTTTGAATATATAGGAATAACAAGTAAAACAACCTCCTAATTCATCTATATTTTTCTTGTATCTTCTCCTGCTGCACACTTTGTAGCAGTAGTTTAGGCCTCAGAAGACACCTAGCTTACCATATTAAATGCAGGCTTTTTGCTCCTGAAAATTTAGATAACAAGCTAATTTGATTTTATCAGTTTAAATAGAAGCAACGTGTAAAGAGGGACTTCAGAAAATCACCTTTCACCACTGGGCTCAGTTTGATGCCGAACTGCCAACTTTAACTCTGCTGCTAACCACTTTCTTCAATCCAAACCTCAAAGACGAACTGATTTTCCAGTCCCTTTTAACATTTCTTCAGAATTATGAGCATTAACAAGTGCTTGATCTTTTTTGGGTTGAAAAAGTGCTCGACTGCATTCATTCAAATTAGTGAACTTCATAACTAATGTTAATAGCAATCGCTCATTCAACCCAAAAAAAAAATGATCAATAAAGAAATGTTGAAGGTAAGGAAATTGATACATATAACAGAATCCTCTGACATTAAAATGAGAGGAAATCCACTAATAAACTAACCTTTTACCCCATCATTTCTTCAGGGATACTCTTTCTATCTTGAGCTTTGCAACATCAAAGTTTGACAAAATGTAATCAGCTTTGCTCAACTCTTGTTTAGATGCCTGAGGATTTCTCCAGTCATTTGATGCACAGAGAACATGCATTTCCTTATAACTGTCCTGAAATAGGAAAATGAAAATGCAAGCAACTAAAAAACAGTTTGACACGCTGTTAAAACTATTGGAGTTCCAGAATTCCTTGTAACAATAACAAGTTAATATATATATTATCCTAAATCTGTCAGGAGGAACCTATATCAAACAAGGCTAATGAATTTGATTTACCAAAGGACTGATATTGGAGAGTCCCTTGCCCTCGCCTGAAGCTAAAAATATCTCCTTCCAGCGGGTTATAATCGTTCAAGAAATGCATATTTCATTTGGACGAAAAAACCATACAAGCTTCATTCCGTTTCATTGGCTGGGGTCTTATAGATTTCCACAATCTTACCAATATGCGCCTCAGTCAATCTTCTTGGTAAACATAAACAGAATCATTAGAGAGTATCTTACACCCTAACGTAAAGGATTTAAAAGCAGCAGTCTTTCTTCATGCAACCAACTCCCTTATTGATGCTCAATTTAATATTACGATTCCTTCCCAATTTGCCTCTTTAGATGCGACATTGTGCATCATCTTCAGGTAATAAAACTCAGCCTAGAATTTTTCAGCATCAGTCAGAACAAATCAACATATAGTGACGGTTATCATATAACCTTAACTACTTAGTTTAGAACAACATGCTTATACCATTAGCAAATCAACCTTAAGAGAAAACTAAGAGAAATGAACGATTAAAGGATAGAACGATTGGTAAGGAGCTGGAACTAATTTTACAGAATAGCATTTTCATAGGGAGATCAATGGGAAATAGCATCCAATCTTTTAAACCAAAAAAGAGCATGCAAGTTGTATATTGCAGAGAAGGTTAAATATAAAAATCTCCAAACAATGGCAACAGAAACAGTACAAGGAGCAGAAAGAATGAAATAATCATCTACATATCACTGAAACAAGCTATTTTCTTTGTGGAAACATGTAGCAACAACAAACAGGGAAGCATGTGGCTAATGTAACAACTAAAGACAGAAGAAGCTTGTTTATGTATGAGCAAAACAGTGAAAAAGAGAAACAGTTAAATCATAAATGATAACTCCTTTATTCTTTCTCTCTTAGTTATTTTACTAAGGTATTTCCTTCCCTTGGAACTTCATGTTCCAAATCAGATTAATAAACCATAAATGCAACCATTCAAAGGCCAGAAAAAATGGAAACGATTGTTTTTCAACGATTGTTTTTCCCCGGTCAGGGAGAGCTCTATCGATTCAGAGGGTCACAGCTTTCCAAAATGGATGTTTTTTTCCACCTATTCTATCCTGATCATGTAAGACACACTGAGACAGTCAAATGCATTTTTAATGACATGCTATGCGGGATCTAGCAAAGATAATCAATGCCCAAACATGACAGGATCATAATCCACTTCTGAATACACAAAAATATGAGTTCAAAACTCTTTTAACAAGAAACAAAGTATAACTGCACTCAAGAAAGATCTAAGAAAGGGTAAAAAAACAGTCCACAGAAACAAGGAATGGCCTGAAGCGTTACATGTATTAACGGTTTGGAATTCAAAAATAACCGAAATCTAAACCCCGACTGATTAAGACATTCCAAAAATAAAGTCAAAGACAGCAACAAGCAAAGAGCCCGACACAGAATCACCACCATCTCCCAATTGCATCATGAATGAAAGAAAAACAAACTAAAAATCTTGAATTTGAGGAAATGGAAGCCCAGAGAGAAGCCCAACACTTGGCTATGTTCCATAAGACTGGACTTCTCCCCTAAGCTGTGTTTAAAAACTTGATGATTTTTCTACTTTTCTATTTGATTATTGGCCTACGCGTCGTGCCCTTTCTTTCAACAAATAAATCATCGAGAAAATCAGAATGAAGAACAAAATTAACAACAGCCATAGTCAAATAGTCTAACACAAATGAACAATAGAATATACATCAACAAGAAGAGCTGAGGGCAGAGGGATGGGAAGAAAGAAATACCAAGTAGTTCTGCCACTGATCTACGGCAAGCAAACCTTACTGCAGCTGTGATGCTAATGCTTAAGCATTCATCAAAAACGAGTCAAGACCTAAAATTCAAGAAAAAAAACAAAAAAAAAAAGCTCAAACAAAAATCAAAAGGAAGAAAAAAAGCAACCTAAAGATCTCGAAAGTGAAAACACAGGAAAGCTTATCACACCACTACGCCGTGAAATTTCAAATCAAATCAGCCATGCGGGTAAGCTTACTACTGGCGAATTTAGTAAGCTTACCGGCACGGGCTGAATCCTCCTGCCTTTTTCCGTGTTGGTGGTGATGTCAGCAACAAGGCAACAACGACAGTACTAGTTCTCGGGAATTCAAACGATTAGTGCATTCAAACCAGAGAAACACAAAACCAGGGACAAAATAAGAGTGAAAAAAACAAACAGTTGGAATAGGCATGTCTGAGAAGAAAGAATAGATGGAGACTTTAATACTGAGAGTATTTTCTTTAGTGATGAGAACACGGAGAGCAAGAAGAAAGACTCAACAGAACACATAGACTTATGATTTCTACTCATCAGAGCTCAAAACCGCTCGCCACTATAACGGAGTTCATAGTTACCAGTCAGACCGATTGACAGTGACAACTGAAAGCTGAAAAGACATGAAGAGAGTAAAAGACGCAAATGTTGCGTGTTTTAACTTATATGATTTCAAATTCAAAATAACATACTACTGTTATTATAATTTATGATTGATCAGGTGTGTAGCTCTTGTAATCATTTTAATTATTACCTAATTATCTTCCAATAATTATTTTAACATGAAAAATTTATGATAGAGCATTAACGGGGATTGTTTTTATTAAACCTTTATGTTAAAAGTTGAAATTTGAAAATGCCATTTGCATGTTTGACGAAAATGAAAACACGATTCTGCATGAGTAGTACAATGATAAAAATGAAAAATACATTTATCACCTAAATATAATCCATCAAACCTGTTAGAGGTGTTTGGTTCTAATGTTGTATGATTGTAAATGTTATATCAATAAAAATATATTATCTTAAGGGGACATTTGGTTAGGTATTATCCTCAAGGTAATATCTTATTTTTATTATAATTTTATCTTTAATTATTAAAATTTTTAGATAATAATGTCATTATTTTTAAAACAATTTACAAAAATATTCATGAACACCTAGGCTCCGTTTGATTCACTTTTTTACACTTTTTAGAAAATTTTTGTGAAAAAAGTTAAAAAAAATTAAATTTGGCAGGTATTACAATGTAGAATTTGAAAATTAATAAAAATACCTCCTATATTTATTTATTTACTAAACACCACTATAATAAAACTTTAAAAGTTAACAAAAACTGCCCCAACCCACCCAAAAAATATGAACAACAGGCCACCACCGCTGGAGGGTGGCCGAAGTGGTCGTATCAGCGCATAACCAGCTGGATCTTGCCGGTCGTGGGCCGATATAGCCATTGACGGCCAGATCTGGCCGTATTTGCTCGTCATCAACGACAACCATATGTTGGTCGTCTTTGATGACTGGTTACGGCCAAAGATCTTGCTGTCAACGGCCAAATCTTTGGTCTTAGATCTGGCTGGAAAATGCTAGATCAACACACTATCGGCCAGATTCAGTCGGTAGTACGCTGTTATACCAGATTTCGACCATCTTCCGACAGTGGTGGCCGGAATCTGATAAACATGGGTTGTTAGGGTGTTTTTTGTAATTTCTAAAAAAAATATTTAGGGGTATTTAATTAAATTAA